TTATGTCCTGCTGGAGTGTGACATGATTTGTTTGTGTACAAACTAATACGCTATCAGAATTTTATATATTTATACTTCTCATTAAAGCACAATTAAATCACTCTATTTAGGAGGCACAATGTATATGGATAGTATTTATTTTTTTCAATAACGAGCTGGAATGAAAACAAGCAAAAATGAAAGAAAAGAAACAACTTTCTACTTCTTACCTTTTTCAAAAAAGTAAGAAGTAGAAAGTACAGATAATTATGTGAAAATGTAAGAAGTAGAAGTAAAAAGTAGGCTGAAGAATAATTACTCAAGTAAAGTACAGATACCCAAAAATTCAACTTAAGTACAGTAACAAAGTATATGTACTTGGTTACTTTACAACTCTGTATTTACCTTTCATTTTCTCTGTCTCTAGCTCAATCTTGTTTTTCTCATGATCACGCTACATAAGATGATCCGCAATTCTTCAGCACTCAAGCCTGACTCCAGTCGCCTGGATAACATAAAGTGAGTTTAAATTATTGATCAACAACACAGCTCTTTTTGTTTTTACATTTCGAATATACCTCAATAGCAGATCGGTTTCATATGAATACCATGCATGAAGATATTTGTTAAATCTATTTTGTCTATTTCCTACAGGTCATGGGCTCTGGGAGCCATCACCCTGCTCTTCTTGCTTGGACTAACGTGGGCTTTTGGTCTTCTCTTTATCAATGAGAACACAGTAATCATGGCCTATCTGTTCACCACCTTCAATGCCTTCCAGGGAATGTTCATTTTCATCTTCCACTGTGCTCTGCAGAAGAAGGTAATAATGAAAGGATGGTCCTCGAAGAGAAACCTAATAAATATTTATTATTCAAAAAAAAGGTGGGGTTGATGAGTGAACGGTTGCTCAAGTCATCCTGATTGTGTTTACAATGACTGCATTCGGAGCTGCGAAGGTGCGATAAAAGGCTCTGTTGCTCTAGATTGTGTTCAGCCAACTGAAACTAAGTGTTTGTGTTTATAAGTGACTTTTAAAACCTGCCTACTGTGCTGGTGGTTTTATTATTATTTTATTTTTTTTACAGGTCCATAAGGAGTACAGTAAATGTCTGCGTCACTCCTACTGCTGCAGCCGCACTTCCACCAGCAGCTCCCACGGTTCCCTGAAGAACTCCGGCCTGCGTACCAACAACCGCTACTACAGCGGCAGCCAAGCTCGCCACGCAGCTGCCCACAGACAGGTGCGGACGGAACATTTGTCCTCCCAAAACAATGTCACACAGAAAAACAGAGTGGACAAAATGTGTTTTTTCTCTGACCGAATGAGAAGCAAGAGGATTTCACTTGAACTTATCAGTCCTTTTCACTGGAATGAAATGAAAAATCAATTTTCTGATTTAAATGACTCTTGATTGTATGTGACATTTCAAGAATCTAGCCCAAAAGAACAAAAGGTCTGTTATGTAAGATTCTGAGGTATAAATTGAATTTATATGCAGGGGTTTGATTGCCAATCAATACAGATGACTCACTGATTACATTACATTGGAGTGTTTTGCATCACGATTTACATCACGGCCTGTTCAGCTTTTACCTGTTCGAACAAATTCTAGTCAGATCAGACAGAATGCTTATATTCCGAGAAAAATATAAACTTTTAAGTTCCCTCACAGTGCAGGCAGATCTATGTTTACCACATTAGATGACTCATTTCTAATGATATTTTTRAATGCCTGCGTGTTTCTATAGATTCTGCCACCAAACAAGACATCCAGAAACAGTGTACATGCTGGCATATGTGCACGGGTACAGAAACATGCACAAACATTGCCCTGTGGTCCTCTCAATCAACAAACAGACTTTCCCACCACTTAACAGCATGCAACAATTGTGTCGACTACTGCAATCATGTCTTACACATCAAGCTCAAGCTCATTAGCCCTCCTCATGATAGCATAGCAAAGTTTGTGTGCCTCTTTACCCGGCGCCTGAGTCTCTTTTGTCTGACATGTTTGTCGATTGTTCTTTGCGAATTAAAGTGAGCCTCKCAGTTTTGATTACAGCTGCCCCACTGAGTTACAAAATCCACCCGCTGTGTTTTTATATTTATTTTTTTTTCTTTGTATGTGTGTGCTTCCTGCCACTCACTGTGTTCTGGTTTTTTTTCCTCCCCCATCAGAGTCGGATCCGTAGGATGTGGAACGACACGGTTCGAAAGCAGACAGAATCTTCCTTCATGGCGGGAGATATAAACAGCACCCCGACACTCAACCGAGGTGAGACTTCCTTCTGTCAGTGCTGGGTTCCACCTCCAGCAAATTATTCACGCTTAAGTGCCTGCAAACACACAACACGAGCGTAAAGGCAAAACAGCAAATCATTATACTTAAAYAGAACGTTTACAGCTAGGGAAAACATTTAAGTATATGTTAGTTTAAAGTTAAATAATAAAGCAGGTGAACTTACTGCTATTAGAACAAACATTGTGGTTCTTACCAACAAAAGCTTGAACTTAATGACATCATGCTTCAAGTCAAGCTGTTTAAAAAGGAATTTTAGCATGCAGAATAGCTAAATTCCTTGTTCACAAATTTTTGTTTTTCATCAAGATTCATTTAAACTGTTAATTTAAGCTTTGTTTAAAACCTGYTAACCTACAGGCCTAACCCTAACCCAAGTTAAATTAAGAACTGCTCTTGCACCCTTTGGAGTAAATTCACAAGCCTAGTTTCTGTATAAAACCATCAATCTGAATTTTTAACTTACCGGTAGTCATAATTTTTGTAACTGTAGCTAGTATTTAGTTATTGAAGTTAAAATATACTATAACCTTTAACATTTTTTTAAAATCCCAAAACTGCGTATCAAATAAAAGTTAACCTGGTTGGCTACACAGTTGTGGTGTCAGAATGAAGCTCAGAGCTGATTGGTCAATTCTAGTCAATCAATCCCGTTTACCATGGACAGGTGGGATGTGAGGGGCTTGCCACATGCTCTATAGATGAACTTAATTGGTCAAAAGTGGTGTCAGTTGAAAGAAGACAACCAATCAAATTGTTTGAACAGCCTATTATGCAAATTCAAAGTCTCTGCTTGGCTATAAAGAGAGTGGAAGTAACCACAAACTGGAAATGCACTGAAAGCAGCACATTATAATACAACAGAAGGTCATGCCTAGCATGCCTTAAAGGAATGCCTATTGTTTCCTACATTGCATGTCAAAGTATTAGATTAAAATCATCTTATGTTGAGAAATGACAAAGTTGTAGCTGGTTTGGATCAACTAAAAATATCACGATGCACAATGTCAATGCATTTTCAGAAGATGTCATGCTCAGAGTAGACGTTGTTGATGACTGTCAGCTGCCTTTAATTGTTAATAGGGGTGCAAAAATACATGTAACTGTATTGAATTGTTCAATACAGTGCTTGAGGTTCAATACACACTATGTATGGAACAATACAGATTTTGAAATTTTATTTTATCACCTTGTCTTCTGAAGATGCGCTGTGTTATAGGCTCAGTGGATCTGCGTTCGACTGCTCCACCTAGACTGCATTGTCGAGCTCAGATCCACTGAGAAAGTTGCTGTTTCAGCAACCTTTAATTTAAAAACTGTACTTTTGAGGTTAAACAAATGGCCATGACTATTTTCAATAAACTACAAGTTAAGAAGGGCRTGAAAATGTCTTTTTGTATCAAAAAAATATTGAACTGTGACATTAAAGTATCAAACTGAATTGTGTATCGTTGCACCCCTAATGGTTATAGGTGGTTTTAAATGACTCAGGACTGCAGAGCAGCAGGTGAMAGGCAGGCTTAAATCCAGAAAATACAAAGCCCAAACAGGTAAAACACAGCAACTATACTGATGATTTGACAGGAAACCAAGACAACACAGACTGAGAGGAGTGATTGTAGAGTGGCAACAGGTGAGAAGCTACTGACGAGCAGGTGAATCGTGTAACATAATCAGGGAAGCTGAGAGAAACACTGGCCAAGAAACTAGGAATCACTACAGCAAAACTACAAAAACCTAAAAAGAAAAAAGAACAAAACTACAAACTCGATAAAAATGAGTTTGAACGCAAAGAATCAGCTTACCAGAAACTCAACACAAATTACAAAGCAAACCCAAAAACCTGCAGCTATGACAAAAACTACATCATATTCTCCACCAAAGGTTCAAAGAGTTTCTCCAAGCAGAACGTATGGCATGAAAAACGTGTCACTGATTGTCTCAGCCTCGGCAGCTGGCGGTGTCAACGCTGCTGCAATCAGTGACACCGAGACGATCAAGGTTGGATCGGGTTCCAAATCGGTTTTTGAGGTGGGGGCGGGGGGTGTTGATCATGACACTGAGGCAGTTGCTAAATCAGCCGTCACTCTCTATGCTAATTTCATCCATTTTKTTTTTAATGAACTGATTAGCGTGTGAGCGAACAGGGGGTAATTATTCTAATTGAGGAGAGAGACGGGAGCAAGGCAGGGGGTGAGGAAAAGGTGTGCTGCGAGTGAGCTAGATAGATGAGAGGTGTCTACAGTATGTATGCCTGTGTGTATGTCTGCGTGCGGCAGGGTGGGCTGGCTTCTGGGGGGGGGGGTGCTGTCACAATAAAGCAATCACAAGACCTGGAGACGACGCTATGTGTGGATCACTTCATAGTGTGCTGTCTAACATTAACGTCTGTGCTGTGAAGCCTTCGTTTTCTGCACAACTTTGAGAAGTTTGACAGAAAGTTAAAGACAAATGCATCAATGGAGATGCATACAGAATCAACCTCTGTAATGGAGAAATAATTATATAGGCCATGTCTGGAGGAAAGTTGTGTTTCTGATTCAAGCTCCTCACCTCTTTTTAAACTACAGACTCTTTCTGACAAAGATAATCTGTCCAAAAAAAAGACACATAGCACACCCATTCTTTCCTCTTGCTCTAATTTCTCCACGCTTAGAACGAGTTTCTTTATTTTCTACAAGATATTCCCACAGGGAGGTACACATAAACAGCTAATCCCAACTAATTTGGTAATGTTTGAAAAAAACAAAGAATTCTGGCACTGAGAACTGAGAAAAAGTTGTTGGAGTCAACGCAGCGAAGCGAGCCAGAGAACGAACGCAGACGGGCTTGTGTAGAATGCCAAAAAGATGGACAGAGGAAGTGTAACAGGAGGGGAAATGACAAATAAATAGCTGTGTGTGAGCACTTTTTTTTTTACGTTTTTTTAGAATTCCCTGCTCCCTTAGTGTGTGATGAACGGTAGGCAGGGGACCTGAAGGTTGCACTTTGCCTTGGACGACTCTCTGTCATGCTGTCCTATTTTTAATTTCATGGCATTTCTGTTCGAGTTGCCTCCAGCTAAAGCCATACATGGGCATTATACAACACTCTCGGTGTGCCATTTTCTTTGAATTATATTTGTCTTGTAGTGGCATTCACATTTCACTGTGAAATTAACTGTGTTTCCATGACTGCACCCTCAGACTACGTAATGGCGTGCATTACTGTTCTCCCCACATCACACTACATTGTCAGGAACCAAAGGTAGAAAAAAAATAAAAGAAAAATGGCTGTGCTTTAAACAGTACCCGTCCCCTGCAATTGTTTTTTTTTTTCCTTTTTGCTCAAAGGTTACAATCTTCAGGCGTAAACATTGAGGGGAACACTGTGAAATGCATTCTCCCATAAAGAAATAGCACGACAAAATAACCCCATCTGAGTAAACAGTAAATATTTTTATGATTCCAGACGTTATTAGAGTCTGAATTTCAAAATGTTACAACTCTTCCACGCTTATTTTCAGTACTTATTTTGCATACATTTGATGCAAACTCGTGATCATATTTATGGTAATGTGAATGTTTTAAATGTTTGTGTTTTGCAGCAACCATGGGCAATCACCTTCTGACGAACCCGGTGTTACAGACTCGCTCTGGCACCTCTCCGTACAACACTCTGCTGGCTGAAAGCTTCACCCCGCCCTCACCTGGAGTCTTCAACTCTACAGGTTAGCTTCTTCATAAACACCTCAGTCAGTGTGGGCGGTCCTGTCATCGTGTGCGTGTGTGTGTGAGTGTGTGCAACACTAAGTCAGCTTGCTGTCTTTCTCACTGTTTCTCTGTCAGTACTTTGACATGGTCTGTGCACACTCACTGCTGTTGAGCGTTTGCATGTGTGTGTGTGTGAGAGAGAGGCTTTTCTTTGTATGTGTGTGTGTGTTTTTCTTTCCCCAGACTATGTAGCTGTCAGACGGATTCACTAGGCTGAGCAGAACAGAGCCAAACAGTGCCTTCAGCCTAACCAGCCATCTGGTCAGATCTTGAATCTTCATGAGAACAGCCACAAATTGATTAGAAGTTTAGCTACAGCTGTGACTGCCAGGTTTCTCGAGAATGGGTTTTCTGTTCACAGGAAGTAAAAATAGTTGGCCTAAAATTACGACAGCCACAGGAAGGGATCAGACATTACTGTGGCGAGGGACAGTCCATCTGGATGTAGGTCAGTCACATGTGTGCTCATAAGAACCGCAGATTTCCCACTCCCCTTTTGGATGCCTCTATCTGCAGATTTAGACAAATGTTGTTGATTGCCTCTCAACAGTACAAACATTAACAATGTTAAATGAGCTCTATGAGTCTCTTTTTTCTCTGGCTGATGGCTGAGTTTGCACCCGCAGACGATCTGGCCGTGTGTCTGAGGAGTGAAATTTAAGGCGGCGTTTCTGTTAAATATTTTAAAGCCTTTCTGTACGATACATCAAGCCTGATGGCCACAGGCCTAGAAGCCAAGTCATTTTTAGAAAAGACTGGTAAAGAGTAGGAAAAGCACTTCATTAGAATGTCTAATTACCCACACAGCCACCAAAGAAGAACGTTGATTAAAGTCAAACTGCACATTAAATTTTAAAAATGAACACACTTCCTTCTTTCTAGGCGGCTGCGGCTTTTCTTTGCTGTTGTGATAAGTTGGTAGAAACCCCACATTTTCTGTTCCGTGTGTGTGTGTGTGTGTGTGTGTGTGTGTGTGTGTGTGTGTGTGTGTGTGTGTGTGTGTGTGTGTAAGGGAATTCATAAAATAAACATTACTGTTAGTGTACAAGTTTTTGTGAATTATGTATTTGTTCAGTTCCCACTAACAGTAGTAAATGAATAGCCCACATATCAGTGGGTTAATTAGGATTTGATATGTGTGGTGTCAGCTTACAATGTGTGCTCTGTGTTTTTGTGCAACTTCCAGCTGATATCACTCAACATCAGAAAATAAAATGGGGGGGGGGGGAGGGCATATTAATTTGGTCTGCAGGCCAACTGGAGTCATTCTATATATAGTTGATAATACATTTTTTGTAAATGCGGTCTATTGTTTCAAAAATATATCGCTAAATCCATGCAAAGCCATGACAAAGGATGCATGCTTTGACTAAAACTCACCAGTCTGATTTACCAGCCTCAAAGAAATCTCTGCAACTTACATGCTCTGTGCACATTGACAGAATATAAATTGTCACACAAATTGGACTGAGCTTGCATAAATCAGTTAATGTGACACAGCTTGTGGTTAAATWTGACTGAATGTGGGGAAAAAGCTGAAAAACACTGATATTTTAAAACCATGACTTCTTCCCTTCTGAAATATTTTTATAAAAACCCATTTTGTTCATATTGTAGTATTGAGAAACTTTAACTTGCATTGTACTTTTTTTATTATTTCACTGACTCAACATGCTTTTCTTTTGGGATGTGAAGGAACCTTCCGTGACCCAAGTAAGTCTAATGAACATTTTCCTGATTTTTAGGTGATATTTAGAGTCTCACCTTATAAAATAATGTCAAACTGTCTGTGTGTTTTGGTTCCAGAGAGTACACTTTCTAAACCCCGTGACCCCTGTGGAATGGAAACCCTTCCTTTAAATGGTAACTTCAACAACAGCTACTCCATGCGCATCGGCCCRTCAGGTGGAGGTGGGGGCAGCTGTGACTTTTTAAGTGGCGAAGGTGGAGACAGCCCCCCGCCCATGTTCAAYCCTCGTAGCTCCGAAACCCTGGGAGGCGGAGGCAACCGGCGAAACCTCCCTGACGCGGCGGCCTTTGAGAAAATGATCATCTCTGAGCTCGTGCACAACAACCTGAGAGGCGGTGTTGGTGGAGGCGGTGGAGCTGATGTAGGGGACAGAGCGTACAGCAGTTTGGTCAGGGGACATCCTCACGGTGGGATCGGTCGGGGCACAACTGTCCCAGGGCCGGAGTCGTCGGTGAGCATGGACGAAGACRATGAATTTCTTAGCGACGGGCGGCAGCGAACGCCGCAGGATGTAGAGCTGCTTTATAAAGCTCTGGAGGAACCCCTCCTGTTGCAGCGTGCCCAGTCYGTACTCTACCAAAGCGATCCGGAGGAGTCTGAGAGCTACACGGCTGACCTTACAGAGAGCCTCGGCCACAGCGGCCACAGTGGTCAGAGCGGTGGTGGGCAGGGAGGCAGCAGAGCAGCGGATTCCCCAGCCCACGACTCCCTGTACACCAGCATCACCAACCTGCGAGACTCACCCTACCCTGACAGCAGCCCGGAGCCGCTGGAGGTTGTGCCCCGCTCAGCCCAGCCCCCAGAAGAGCTGTACTATAGTTCTGGGAGGCCTGCCTTGGGCTCTCGTGGGGCTCCTATGCAGACCTTCTATCAGGCCCCACCTCAAAGACCGAGTGGGGAGGGACACCAGGCTCAGGAGCCTRTCCACAGTGAGGGAGACGGACAGATGCAACTGGTCACCAGCCTGTGACTGGAGCCTGAAGCAGGAAGCTGGAGACAAATGTGATGGCCAGACTCTCCTCCCGGCCGGTCTCTCTCTCTCGTGTGTCTCCRCTTTCTGTTTGTTTGGTTGCCTTTCTTTCTCTTGACTTTTATTTAACTTCACATAYGAGCGAACAGAGTGATGTTCTGGGGGAGAGATTGCTGACTCTGCAGCCTTTATCGTCAACTCTCCCCCATCACGAGGAGATGAATGATGAGTGTTTTTTTAGGCAGAGTGTTCGTTACCTCTGTCGAACCTCAGCCATCTCTAGTTTTCAGTACCCTAAGGCCAAGTCCAGCACACTGAATGTACCATTCCACACCCCCCCCCCCTTTACCTTGAGATATTTTCAAACTTTGAATCTTGGTTGAATTTTTTTATGCAATTTCCTCTCAGACCTGCCTCCGGAGATGGGGATATTGTTTTATATTTTGTTCTCTTTTTTTTTTCTTACCATCTTTAGAATTTTTTTTTCCAAGTTATCATTTGATAGGGGTATTTAGCTGTGGAGACAGGAAATATTATACACTGTTATTACCTGAAACGTCTCACAGAGAGCTCTTCGTTGTTGCCAAAAATATCTTTTATTGAGCCAGAACAAAAACTAGAACATCCACAAGGCTAACACACACACACACACACACACACACACACACACACACA